AACCCTTGCGTTCATTCGATTAATATATTTCCTACCTTATATTTGAGTGAGACCACTAGATTCCGTGTACTATGCGAGATCTGAGCGGTTCCGTTCTCCCAGGCATTTGGACTCTAAGTTCCCATATTGACCGACCTGGCCAATGCACCATTTTCCATATACATATGCATTAGATTTCTTTCGAACCTTATTAGCTCACTAGATTTATATATTTTCCATCTTCTGATTGAGTGAGATCGCTATGTTCTCTTTACTTTTAGAGAAATGAGCGTTTCCGTTCTCCCTGGCCCCACTTGCACTATAAGTGCGAAACGCCGGCCAGACTGGCCGATGCACCATTTTCTCTACACATGTGCGTTAGTTACCTTTCAAACCCTTGCTTTCACTCTATTAATATATTTCCTACCTTATATTTGAGTGAGACCACTAGATTCCGTGTACTATACGAGATTTGAGCGGTTCCGTTCTCCCAGGCATTTGGACTCTAAGTTCCCATTGACCGTGTTGGGTGCAAAACGCATTTTGCACGTCAACCTGTCGCCTATTCGTCGAGCGATGTGAAATTTGAGGGTATTTGTTTTGAGGTATTTTGTATGGTGTGGAATGTGCATTTGTGTGATTTTCATTTTGGCTCTTACGGTTTATGAATCGCCTTAACGGTTCATGAGTTATGTGCATTTTTGTATGAGGTTGCATTCATGCTGGCTGGCACGTGGGGAGCTCGGGATTTACAGTTGAAAAACTGTATCCCGTGTTGACTTGGCAAACATGAGGTTTCGCCAGAAAGTCACGCTGCATTGCGTGATCATTTCGACAAGGTACAAAACGGTAAATTCCGTTTTGCAACGGGAAAACGGTTTTCCCACACGAGGCTTCATGAATGTTAACGGAAATTCACGAGTGCTCACGAGGGGAGTCAGCAGGGGCGTTTGGATGAAGTGTCATTTGAAATCAGTTATTCTAAGGAAGCGGATCAAGCCAAATGCAGCTGAAGTTTGACAACCGTTTTACCAAGACAACATGGCGAAGTCATCTATTACAGTTTTATAACTGTTTTATGTTCGCCTTGAGGTTGCTTCAGCTCGTGCATTATTAGTTCTATAAATGTGTGCTTGTGTTTCATTGTAATCAACTTTTTGGAGTGAATATTTTCTCTATCGACGTATTGACGCGAGGAGAAATTTCTGCATACGAGCCAATCGATCGTTAATGCTTCCGCACATGAGTTTGGGAATGCTCTAAGAGTACACGGCGGTTTTCATACTTAGGGAATCCCTCTACAAACACGGACCCTTGGATAGGGGCTGGTTTTACCAGGCACCCAAGGACCCTTGGAGGTGACCCCGTGGGGACTACCTAGTGTGATTAAAGGTGTGCTTAGAGCTTCTAGGTCCCAAATATCAGTCAACACGTGGTATCAGAGCTGAGGATTGGACGTCTCGCCGTTAGAACAACATGGAGTCGAGCGGAAACGAAGGTTCTCTTGCACGAGCTGATAGTGGAGTCAAGGAAACTGGTGACTCAGCACCAAGGAGAATGCGGGTCGGCCAGGGCTCCCTATTAAAGGAGGTGTTGAAGAACTTCGTCGTCGACAAGTTCAACGGCAACAACTACGACGATTGGGCGTGGAAAATGCAGCTGTATTTTCGGCAAGTCGGCTTGTTGAAGCTGATGACGGGCGAGGAGAAGAGGCCGGACGACGCTAACCTGCAAAAGGAGTGGGACGAGCGTGCTACTGCCGGCTACTACCTTCTCTCACAAAGTTTGGAGCTGAACCAGCGGTCACACGTAATGCATCTGCTGGAAGAAGCTGATTGCGGGCCACGAGCGTGGAAGGTGCTGAAGGAGTTGCACGCACCAACCTCGGTGGTTGCAACGCTCATGCTGGAGCGTGAGTTGGCGGCATTGCGCCTGAGTGAGGGGGAGCCGATTCAACCGGTTCTCGACAAGATGCGGGAGCTGTACGCGAAATTGCAGATTGCGGGCATCACCTACCCGGAGCAAACAAAGTGTCTACGAATGCTATCACTGCTGCCCGAGTCATGGCTGCAATTCACGAGTGGCCTAAGCCTTCCTCAGAATGAGAAGTTGTGGACCCTTGAGTGGGTGCGAGCCAAGGTCTTGGAGGAGGACTTCAGGAGGAGGCAGCTGAACTACAACCAAGACGGCGATGGCGGCTATGGCATGCAAGGCAGTAGATGGCGCAAGGGGAATGACCGGGGACGCGGTGAACGAAGACATCATGGAAGCGGACGAGACAACAAGAAGCCGAGCAGCAGGAGTGATGATGAAGAAGAGGCTACTAACGAGAATGACGAGAGTGGCTACCGCGGATTCAAGGGCACCTGCTGGTATTGCAAGAAGCCGGGACATACTTGGGTGAAGTGCTGGAAGCGGCCCAAGTGGTGGACTCCCACTAAACCCTCACTAGATTTATATATTTCCCACCTTCTGATCGAGTGAGACCACTAGATTCCCTCTACTTTTTGAGAAACGAGCGTTTTCGATCTCCCTGGCCCCACTTTCACTATAAGTGCGAAATGCCGGCTAGACTGGCCGATGCACCATTTTCTCTACACATGTGCGTTAGTTACCTTTCAAACCCTTACGTTCACTCTATTAATATATTTCCTACCTTATATTTGAGTGAGACCACTAGATTCCGTGTAGTATGCGAGATCTGAGCGGTTCCGTTCTCCCAGGCATTTGCACTCTAAGTTCCCATACTGACCGACCTGGCCAATGCACCATTTTCCATATACATATGCAATAGATTCCTTTCAAACCTTATTAGCTCACTAGATTTATATATTTCCCACCTTCTGATCGAGTGAGACCGCTAGATTCCCTCTACTTTTTGAGAAACGAGCGTTTTCAATCTCCCTGGCCCCACTTGCACTATAAGTGCGAAATGCCGGCCAGACAGGCCGATGCACCATTTTCTCTACACATGTGCGTTAGTTACCTTTCAAACCCTTACATTCACTCGATTAATATACTTCCTACCTTACATTTGAGTGAGACCACTAGATTCCGTGTACTATGCGAGATTTGAGCGGTTCCGTTCTCCCAAGCATTTGAACTCTGAGTTCCCATACCGACCGACCTGGCCAATGCACCATTTTCCATATACATATGCATTAGATTCCTTTCAAACCTTATTAGCTCACTAGATTTGTATATTTCCCACCTTCTGATCAAGTGAGACCGCTAGATTCCCTCTACTTTTTGAGAAACGAGAGTTTCCGATCTCCCTGGCCCCACGTGCACTATAAGTGCGAAATGCCGGCCAGACTGGCTCATGCACCATTTTCTATACACATGTGCGTTAGTTACCTTTCAAACCCTTACGTTCACTCGATTTATATATTTCCTACCTTATATTTGAGTGAGACCACTAGATTCCGTGTACTATGCGAGATCTGAGCGGTTCCGTTCTCCCAGGCATTTGCACTCTAAGTTCCCATACCGACCGACCTGGCCAATGCACCATTTTCCATATATATATGCATTAGATTCATTTCAAACCTTATTAGCTCACTAGATTTATATATTTCCCACCTTCTGATCGAGTGAGACTGCTACATTCCCTCTACTTTTTGAGAAACGAGAGTTTCCGATCTCCCTGGCCCCACGTGCACTATAAGTGCGAAATGCCGGCCAGACTGGCTCATGCACCATTTTCTATACACATGTGCGTTAGTTACCTTTCAAACCCTTACGTTCACTTGATTAATATATTTCCTACCTTATATTTGAGTGAGACCACTAGATTCCGTGTACTATGCGAGATCTGAGCGGTTCCGTTCTCCCAGGCATTTGCACTCTAAGTTCCCATACCGACCGGCCTGGCCAATGCACCATTTTCCATATACATATGCATTAGATTCATTTCAAACCTTATTAGCTCACTAGATTTATATATTTCCCACCTTCTGATCGAGTGAGACCGCTAGATTCTCTCTACTTTTTGAGAAACGAGCGTTTTCGATCTCCGTGGCCCCACTTGCACTATAAGTGCGAAATGCCGGCCAGACAGGCCGATGCACTATTTTCTCTACACATGTGCGTTAGTTACCTTTCAAACCCTTACATTCACTCGATTAATATATTTCCTACCCTACATCTGAGTGAGACCACTAGATTCCGTGTACTATGCGAGATTTGAGCGGTTCCGTTCTCCCAGGCATTTGAACTCTAAGTTCCCATACCGACCGACCTGGCCAATGCACCATTTTCCATATACATATGCATTAGATTCCTTTCGAACCTTATTAGCTCACTAGATTTATATATTTCCCACCTTCTGATTGAGTGAGACCGCTAGATTCCCTCTACTTTTTGAGAAAGGAGCGTTTCCGTTCTCCCTGGCCCCACTTGCACTATAAGTGCGAAATGCCGGCCAGACTGGCCGATGCACCACTTTCTCTACACATGTGTGTTAGTTACCTTTCAAACCCTTACGTTCACTTGATTAATATATTTCCTACCTTATATTTGAGTGAGATCACTAGATTCCGTGTACTATGCGAGATCTGAGCGGTTCCGTTCTCCCAGGCATTTGCACTCTAAGTTCCCATACTGACCGACCTGGCCAATGCACCATTTTCCATATACAGATGCATTAGATTCCTTTCGAACCTTATTAGCTCACTAGATTTATATATTTCCCACCTTCTGATCGAGTGAGACCGCTAGATTCCCTCTACTTTTTGAGAAACGAGCGTTTCCGTTCTCCCTGGCCCCACTTGCACTATAAGTGCGAAATGCCGGCCAGACTGGCCGATGCACCATTTTCTCTACACATGTGCGTTAGTTATCTTTGAAACCCTTACATTCACTCGATTAATATATTTCCTACCTTTTATTTGAGTGAGACCTGTGAGAGAATCTAGAACGAGAAATGAACGAACTATGAATGAAGTGAATACATATAGGAAACCCTGATTTGGTTGTACCCCCTATGGGATACCCCACTATAGCCTACACAAATATATAAGCTATAATGTTCTGACATACCCCCATAGGCAAAGTGGGGGAGAACAAGGGGTCACAAGACCAGTCAAGCAAAATAAAGCAAAGTTCAGGGTGGATCACATAGTCACCACACATTTCGAGCACAAGTTCAAAGGCCAGAAGGCCAGTTCACATGCAAGATCACACATATATATACAAGAGGCTAAGCAAGCAAGAGCAAGAGTATATATATGTGACAGTACAAGCAAGGTCAAGAAGTGAGCAAGTGAAGAAAGACAGGCACAAGACCCAGCTGAGTGCAGAAGCGCTGATGATCACAGGGCGCAAGTGCCTTGGTGAAGACATCAGCAGTGTTGGCCTCAGAGGCCACGTACGCAAGCCGCAACTGTCCACGCTGCTGTAGCTCACGAGCAAGAAAGTAGCGGAGAGCAATGTGCTTTATTCTGTGCTCGAGTCGCTGCTCTCGACACAAGGCCAGCATGGCCTTGTTGTCTACGTACAGGACTAGAGGAGAACGAGGCGGCTCTTCAAGGTCGGTCAGCCAGCGAGGCTCTTGGGCAGCCATAGCCCTGGCGTAGATCTCATCCTCACAACTGGAGCCGAGAACAGAAGACGAGCGGGTAGCCCGCCACGAAACAAAGCCGGAACCAAGACTGAAAGTGTAACCCTGTGACGACGTGCGGCGTGCTCTGTCCCGGATGATCTGCAAGCCAAGGTAGCTGCGCAGTTCACCCAGGTCAGTGCACGTGTGTCTCTTTTGCAGCTCGGACTTCACGTAGGCGATTCCAGCAGTGTCACCTGTGGCAAAGACCAAGTCGTTGACGTACACGAGGATGTAGAACGGCGGCAGAGAGGTGTCGGTGCGCAGAAACAGCGACGGGTCGGCAGTAGAAGGAGCAAACCCAAGTGTCGCCAGTGTAGTCCTCAGTGTGTCGTGCCACTCATGCGGCGCCTGGCGGAGACCGTAGACTGGACGCTGGAGACTCCACTGGGTACCACGAGGGAACGACCCAGTGAAGCCAGGTGGGCGGCGCAGCCAGATCTCCTCGTGCAGGCTGCCCTGCAAGAAAGCAGTGATGAAGTCGAGAGAGTGCAGCTCGTAGTCACAGCGAGCAGCAACGTGCAGCAGTACCCAAAGAGTGGTCATCTTCGGGGTAGGGGAGAAGGTCTGAAAGTAGTCAACTAAAGCCACGAGCCACGTAACGCGCCTTGAAGACAGGCGGAGAACCCGGCGGCCGCTTCACCCTGAAGATCCACATGCCACTGACGATGTTCGCCCCAGGAGCGGGGACAGCGTCAACTTAGGTGCCTGTGGACTTCCAGGAAGCCATCTCTGCATCCATAGCTGCCTGCCACTGAGAGGAGTAGAGACCCTCTATCGCCTCCGCGTAAGAGCGCGGAGTCGGGATGTCAAGTGCATATGGGTCTCCCACAGGGGTAAGCAGTACGGACACGAGATGAGGTGAAGCAGCAGCCAGACACTGGAACTCCTCCTGCCTGTCCTCAAGGACGTCCGTGCGAAGGGCACACTCACCCACGACGGACGAAGGACAGACAGACTCAGACTCAGCGACAAGACTAGCAGCGTAGTCTAGGCGACAGCGAGAAGCAAAGTCGACGAGCTCAGTAACAAGGGCAGACGCAACAGTAGACTCGAAAGAAGGGTCAGTGATGGCAGTAGCAAGGAGATGTGTGACAGTAGGACTGGCAGCACGAAGAGAGTCCGACTCCGGGCCGGCAAGAGCAGGAAGAGAGGACGCAGGAGGAGAAAGCAAAGGGGCACGCAGAGGAGCAGTGGACGGACGCAGAGACATCCGGTGCGTGCCAGGGACAGGAGGAGGACGCTGACGCGAACCGCGACCACTAGCGCGCGTAGCACGAACAGGCGACGCAGGACGAGACGCAGTCTCACGACGCTCAGTAAGACCTCCAGTAGGACCAGCGTAGGGAGAAGGAGCAGGCAAAGGGGAGGCAGGCTGTAGCTGTGACTGTGACTGGACAGGCTGTGGACTCTCTTAGGGAGGAGGAGGAGGACCAGTAGAAGGTGTAAGACCAAGAACCTGCTGCAGGAGTGGAACGAAGTACGGTCGAGGCCACGTGGCGACGCGAGAAACAGCAGGGACAGCACCAGGACCCCCAGCAGGAGTACCCGCTCCAACAGCACCTCCAGCAGCTCCAGCACCTCCAGCAGCACCTCCACCAGCTCCATAACCCCCAGCAGCACCTCCAGCAGCTCCAGAACCTCCAGCAGCACCAGGAGCACCTCCAGCAGAACCGCCAGTGGTAGTCTCAGCGCCAACACCCTCACCAGCTCCAGTACTCCCAGGATGAGCACCTCCGGGACCCGCGACAGCAGCACCCGTCGACAAGTCGCGGACAAACGCCCGAGATCCCCAGACCCGGAACGCCGACGCATCGCCAACCTTCCCCGTCCACAGCAAGGCTGGGGAGGTCTCCGGCTTGGAGACCCTGGGCTGAATTTTGATTTGATGCGCCGCGTACCTGACCGCAAACGGCCACAGAAAATGGGGGGGCAGCCGCATGCATCATAGACGTACGAGCGACGTCCATGACCAAGCCAATGCGGCGCTCAGCAATCCCATTTTGCTGCGGAGAGTCCGGAAGCGTGAAGGTCTGTCGGATGCCCCGTGTGCGATAGTAGGCTCTCAGAAGGCCAGAGGAAAACTCTCCGCCTCTGTCCGAGTGCAGACGCAGAACAGAAAAGTCCGAGCCAAAGCTGTGCCTGAGCTGGAGACGAGCTGCGCGGATCCAGTCGATCAGCACCTCAGTGACATCACCCTTGCTGCGCAAGGGGAAGACTACGGTGTAACGCGAGTAGTCGTCAACAACTAGCAGGAAGTAGCGCTCGTGACCCTGTCCACGGACGCAGGCTGGGCCCCACACGTCCATGTGAATCGTCTGCAACGGGGCCTCTGTCGGAGGAAACTGGGAGGAGTGAGGGGCAGCACGCTGGCGCCCCTCGACACGGGGGACAGAGGTAGGGCTAGGGCCCTGAGGAAGGGGAGGGAGGGACCGGGGGAGACCAGAAACAAGAAGACGAGAGGCTATGCCTCTGAGCCGAAGTAGAGAGGGGTGACCAAGGCGGTGGTGCCAGAGGAGAGTCTCGTGAGACAGGAGACGACACGAACAGGGGGCAGACTCAGGACCAGATTTGGACGCTGCAGCAAATACCTGACCTGACGCAGCTACCCTACCAGACTCAGTAACTGGAGGAGACGCAGTGGTCAGTGTATACAGGCTCGACCCCGGCTGACGAGTAAACGTGGCCAGGTGTCGGCCTGTCCGACGTCTGTGCAGTAGGTCACCCGCTGACTCGCAGGAGTGAACTGGTGAACCCCCGCATCCTGCAGGTCAGCATCACTCACCAAGTTTGTAGAGAACGAGGGGAGGTAAAGACCAGACAGGGTGCCAGAGGGGGCCGCCGGACACGGGAGGACAGTGGAGAAGTGAGCAAGGACAGGGCCCCCAGAGGGGTCTGCCAGAGAGACTGCAACTGGCCGACCAAGCGGTGTGAGTGTGGTGCGGTCTCGAAAGAAGGAGCGGGAAGCCCCTGAGTTAAGGGTGAAGGTGTGAGAGGCCGGAGCCGACGTAGGCTAACCCACTGTAGCCTAAACTAACACAACATATATAATGTTTGACAAGAGCAGACTCACCCGCACCTGAGGAAGCAGACTCACTAGCACCTAGGGTAGCAGCCGCACCTGTACCTGGAGCAGGAGACACACTAGCACCCAGAGCAGCAGCCGCACCAGCAGCTAGAGCAGCAGGCTCTATACCCGGGTCAGGCGGTACGCACAGGTGATCGGCACGGTCAGCACTAGTAGGCAATGCATACATGGCAGTGAGAATAGCATCATAGTCAAGAGCAAATATATCTACCCTCTGCCTAAGCAACTCCACCCAGTCGGGGAGCTCAGCCTCGTCGCCAAACTCGGTACGCCAGGCGTCGTTTAGACGAGCGAAGCAGTGGGACGGTGTATGACTAGGCGTCCCACAAGGCTGACCAGTCCGAGCACCAGTGCGAATCACGTAAGAGCAGCGAACAGAACTGAGAGACCCTCTACTCTGAGCGTACCACTCACGAAGCTGCTGGGGCGTGAGAGACGCGCGTGGGCGTCGCTGGAGCTGCATCTGGCCGCCGCCAGTAGAAGCAGGAGCAGGAGTAGCAGCAGTAAGGCAGGCAGCCAAGCAAGCTGCAGGCAGCGCGATAGTAAGGCAGGGGCTCACCAGTGGTGGGAAGAGCAGGCTCGACGACTCAGCGACTCGGCGGCACGGCGGCACTGCAGCAACTGCGGCTCGGCGGCCCGGGCGACCCGGGCGGCTCGGCTGCTCGAGCGACTCGGGCGGCTCGGCGACTCGGCGGCTCGGGTGGCTCGGGCGGCTCGAGCGGCTCGGGCGGCTCAGGCGGCTCAAGCGGCTCGGCTGCTCTGCGGCTCGGCTGCTGGGCTGCTCAGCGGCTCGGCTACGGCTCGGCTGCTGGGCTGCTCGGCGGCTCGGTGGGGGGGGGGGGGCGGCTCGGCAATGCAGCAGGCGACGGGCCATGGCAGCTGCGCGGGGCCGGGACGGGCGGTGCACGGGCGGCGTGGGGCCGGGACGGCGGCGCGCTGCCGGAACAAGCGGCGCACGGGCGGCGTGGGGCCGAGAAGGGCGGCGCACAGGCGGAGTGGGGGCCGGGACGACGGCGCTGGGCCGGGACGGGCCATGCACGTGCGGCGTGGGGACGGGACGGCGGCGCGCTGCCGGAACGGGCGGCGCACGGGCGGCGTAAGGCCGGGACGGGCGGCGCACGGGCAGAATAAGGGCCGGGACGAGGGCGCGGGGCCGAGACGGGCGGCGCACGCGCGGCGTGGGGCCGGGATGGGCGGCTCACGGGCGTCGACAGGCTGGAGCAGCGGCGCGCAGTCAGGACGGGCGGCGCGCGGGCGGCTAAGGGCCGGGACGGGCGGCGCGTGGGCGGCTAGGGGCCAGGACGGGCGGCGCGCGGGCGTCTCAGGGCCGGGACAGGCGGCGCGCGGGCGGCTAATGGCCGGGACAGGCGGCGCGCGGGCATCTAAGGGCCGGGACGGGCGGCGCACGTACCGTTAGGGGCCAGGACGGGCGGCGCGCGGGCGGCTAGGGGCCGAGACGGGCGGCGCGCTAGAAAAGAAAGAGGCCGCGCGCCCCGAGGCGCGCGCCAAAGTGCAAATCGCCGCGCGCCTACGGGGCGTGCGACAGAGGATGTAGCAGCGGAAGCAGTAGTACCCACAGGCCGAGAGCGTAACCGCTCTGAAACCACGTGAGAGAAACTAGAATGAGAAATGAACAAACTATGAATGAAGTGAGTACATATAGGAAACCCTGATTGGGTTGTACCCCCTATGGGATACCCCACTATAGCCTACACAAATATATAAGCTATAATGTTCTAACAAGACCACTAGATTCCATGTACTATGCGAGATCTGAGCGGTTCCGTTCTCCCAGACATTTGCACTCTAAGTTCCGATACTGACCGACCTGGCCAATGCACCATTTTCCATATACATATGCATTAGATTCCTTTCGAACCTTATTAGCTCACTAGATTTATATATTTCCCACCTTCTGATCAAGTGAGACTGCTAGATTCCCTCTACTTTTTGAGAAACGAGTGTTTCCGTTCTCCCTGGCCCCACTTGCACTATAAGTGCGAAATGCCGGCCAGACTGGCCGATGCACCATTTTCTCTACACATGTGTGTTAGTTACCTTTCAAACCCTCAAGTTCATTCGATTAATATATTTCCTACCTTTTATTTGAGTGAGACCACTAGATTCCGTGTACTATGCGAGATCTGAGCGGTTCCGTTCTCCCAGGCATTTGCACTCTAAGTTCCCATACTGACCGACCTGGCCAATGCACCATTTTCCATATACATATGCATTAGATTCCTTCCGAACCTTATTAGCTCACTAGATTTATATATTTCCCACCTTCTCATTGAGTGAGACCGCTAGATTCCCTCTACTTTTTGAGAAACGAGCGTTTCCGTTCTCCCTGGCCCCACTTGCACTATAAGTGCGAAATGCCGGCCAGACTGGCCGATGCACCATTTTCTCTACACATGTGCGTTAGTTACCTTTCAAACCCTTACGTTCACTCGATTAATATATTTCCTACCTTATATTTGAGTGAGACCACTAGATTCCATGTACTATGCGAGATCTGAGCGGTTCCGTTCTCCCAGGCATTTGCACTCTAAGTTCCCATACTGACCGACCTGGCCAATGCACCATTTTCCATATACATATGCATGTGATTCCTTCCGAACCTTATTAGCTCACTAGATTTATATATTTCCCACCTTCTCATTGAGTGAGACCGCTAGATTCCCTCTACTTTTTGAGAAACGAGCGTTTCCGTTCTCCCTGGCCCCACTTGCACTATAAGTGCGAAATGCCGGCCAGACTGGCCGATGCACCATTTTCTCTACACATGTGCGTTAGTTACCTTTCAAACCCTTACGTTCACTCGATTAATATATTTCCTACCTTATATTTGAGTGAGACCACTAGATTCCATGTACTATGCGAGATCTGAGCGGTTCCGTTCTCCCAGGCATTTGCACTCTAAGTTCCCATACTGACCGACCTGGCCAATGCACCATTTTCCATATACATATGCATTACATTCCTTTCCAACCATATTAGCTCACTAGATTTATATATTTCCCACCTTCGGATCGAGTGAGACCACTAGATTCCCTCTACTTTTTGAGAAACGAGCGTTTCCGTTCTCCCTGGCCCCACTTGCACTATAAGTGCGAAATGCCGGCCAGACTGGCCGATGCACCATTTTCTCTACACATGTGCGTTAGTTACCTTTCAAACCCTTACGTTCACTCGATTAATATATTTCCTACCTTATATTTGAGTGAGACCACTAGATTCCGTGTACTATGCAAGATCTGAGTGGTTCCGTTCTCCCAGGCATTTGCACTCTAAGTTCCCATACTGACCGACCTGGCCAATGCACCATTTTCCATATACATATGCATTAGATTCCTTCGGAACCTTATTAGCTCACTAGATTGATATATTTCCCACCTTGTGATCGAGTGAGACCGCTAGATTCCCTCTACTTTTTGAGAAACGAGCGTTTCCGTTCTCCCTGGCCCCACTTGCACTATAAGTGCGAAATGCCGGCCAGACTGACCGATGCACCATTTTCTCTACACATGTGCGTTAGTTACCTATCAAACCCTTACGTTCACTCGATAAATATATTTCCTACCTTATATTTGAGTGAGACCACTAGATTCCGTGTACTATGCAAGATCTGAGCGGTTCCGTTCTCCCAGGCATTTGCACTCTAAGTTCCCATACTGACCGACCTGGCCAATGCACCATTTTCCATATACATATGCATTAGATTCCT